GCAGTCCAGGGCACTGTGTGTCCGAGTGGATCGCAACGCGATTTTGCGAATCCCACTCCACCACACTGTTGTGTGACAACGGCCCGTCACACCATCCCCCACTTCAGATAGAGAACACGTAACACTTGGCGTTTGGAGTCGAGATGGCAGAAGCTGGCGAAGAAGCGACGACCATGGGGGAGGAGCTGGAACGATGGGCGCTGCACGATTGCAGCGCCTTCCGCGACGCGCGCGGCCCGGACGAGATGAAGCGGTTGTTTGAACGGTTCCGGGCGACGCGTGGCAAGCCCGTCACGGTGACGCCCACCGTGACCATCAGGTCGCTCGATCGTGTGTGGACAGCATTCGTGAAGCGGTGGAACCTGGAGGGTCGCGAGGCGTTCGAAACCATGTTGAAAAAGCGTGAAGCTGATCACGCTCGGTTGTCCGTCGGTGAGCTAGCTGGACAAGTCTGTCGCCTGTCGTGGGACCAAGATCGCCGGTGCTGCATCGCGCATTTCGAAGATGGGTGTCCGCACTGTCGCGAGCTTGGTGTCACGCGACCGGATCGTGAAGAGTGGCGCCGCATTGTGGAGGCAGTTCCTGTGACTGAAGTGGAGAGGGACGTGATCGGACGTTACCAGCGAGCCTTGGACGAGGCTAGGCGCGCCGGACGGGCGCGTCCTCAGCGCGATCCGTCACCGGTGCGAGGTCCGTCTCGTACGCCGCTACGGTCCGGAAAATCAGCGAGGAGGACGTCACGAGGCTCCCAGCTATCCGGCATGGGGCCCAACCAGCGCACCAAGTAGCGCCGCTGTGAGGAATCAGAATGGCGCGGGGATCAGCGTGGTTCAGAATACGGTCGACGATATGGCGAGCATGCCCTGCCGTGTCAACAAGTGGCGCCGGACCGTCGCGTTCGAATGGAGGATCGGCGCGGGTGGGAGTACGCCGCGGAGATGCGGCGTCTGCGCCAGCGCGTGGAGGATCTGGAGCGGGAGAATCAGGACTTGCGTCGTCGGGTGCAGCGGCCGCGCGACGGGTGGGAAGATCGCCGGTATGCGGACGCGGAGGGTCCACCGCGTCGCTGGGGATAGTCGCCGGGTGGTATCGTCGGAGCCGGCCAACGTAGAAGGTAGGATGCAGACGTAGAGCCGTAGGAAGCTGCAACGTGTAGGCATCACCTAATACCTTCACGATCTTGAATGGTCCAATAAATCTCGGTGCCAACTTGTTGGCGCCCAAATACGTCACGGATGTAGGAGTAATTCCCAAGGTCGAAAGTAATACACGATCACCAACATTGAAGCGCTCCAAATTTTTACGACCACGTTGATCAGCATATTCTTTCTGGCGATCGACAGCAGTCGCGATCGCGTCTCGCACATATCGGATAATTGAGTCGCGCTGGTCGACGAAACCGTGAGCAGCCGCGATGTCGCGCGGCTGCGGCTCTGGATTGGGATCGAAATTCGCTGGCGGTGGCTCGGCGACTGGTGCCGAGTCAGGAGAAGGCTGCAGTTCGACCGCTCGACGACGTTGACGGGGATTGATCAGCGCCCGGGATGTCCATTCGGCAACTGGTGATGGTGCCGTCCGTGTGGCGGCACGCGTTCGCATGCCAGGTCGGGCTGTGAGAGAGCCGTGCCGCGTCAGAACGTTGACCGAAGTGGAACCGGCGTCGTCAGTCTGAGCATTATCGGGGATGGAGCGCTCCATCCCGAGGAGGGCAGGAATACGGGGATGTCGCCCATAGTTGATAAAGAACGGGGTGAACCCCGTCGACGCGTGGACAGCATTGTTGATCGCGAACTCAACCATCGGTAGGAAGGAGCTCCAGGACTTGAATGAAGTAGCGAAGCTGCGTAAGACGTCTTCGACAACTCGGTTAGTCCGCTCGGTCTGGCCGTCCGTTTCTGGATGCGACGCGGTGGACATCTTCAACCGCGTCCCGAGGAGGAGGAACAGCTCTTGCCAGAATGCCGCTGTGAAGCGGGGATCGCGGTCGGAGATAATCGAAGACGGGAGACCATGATGGCGGTAGACAGTATCCAGGAAGATCGCCGCCGACTGTTTCGCGGTGATGGTCGCTGGAACCGGAGCAAGATGGACCATCTTGCTGAATCGGTCGACGAAGACAAGGATTCCGGTACGTCCTTGTGCGTCACGCGGGAGACCGAACACAAAGTCCATGCTAACAGACGACCACGGCGCGGTAGCCACCTCGAGTGAACGGAGTGGAGTTTGTTTCGAATGCGAGGGCTTCACACGCTGGCACGCTTCGCAGGAGCGCACCCATTTGTGCATGTGCGGCCAATAGAAGTCTCGCGAGAGCGACGCGAGTGTCTTCTCGCGTCCGAGATGGCCGCTGCTCGGAGAGTCATGGAACTCGTGAATGAGATGAGATCGAAGATCGTCATCCAGCGGGATGACGATACGTGGAGGGTCGTCACGATCAACGTGAAAAGTTAGTAGATCACCGTCAAGGCCGTGTCGGTCGATGCGAGAACGGCTACGCGTCGACAGGCGGCGCCGCGCCGAGTCAGAAGCGTAACGAAGCATGGTCGGTGTAGATGGCGAAGGTCTGTTCGCCCCAAGAGGTACACGCGAAACTTGATGAGTGCATAGCGCATCGCTAGGAGCTCCTTATCGTGGACGGGGTAATTACGCTCCGCCGGCTTCAGCTGGCGCGACTGGTAGCTAACCACTCGCTCGCGCCCTTCGTCGTCGAGCTGCATTAGGGCGCGCCCGATGGCATAGTCGCTTGCATCGCAGACCACATGGAACGGCTTCGAGTGATCAGGGAGCATGAGTACGGGCGCGGTGGATAAGCTCGTCTTCACCGCGTCGAACGCCGCCTGGTGCTCGGGACGCCACGACCACGTGGCGTCCGCCTTGAGGAGTTGTGATAGCGGTCATACGGTCTCGGCGAAGTTCTTTGCGTAGTGGTGGAGATACGTCGCGAGCCCCAGCCACTGCCTCAGCTGCTTCTGGTCTTGTGGCATCAGCCAATCACAAATGGCCGCGATCTTCACTGGGTCAGCACGGACCCCGTCCTTGCTGACGTAGCTCCCAGTACTGGGATCTCAGGAGCGCAGAATATGCACTTCTTCAAATTTGCATAAAGCTTGTTCTCTCGCATCACTTCGAACACCTTGCGCAGGTGTCGTAGATGTACCACCGTGTCCGTCGTGTCGTCAGCGGCACGACTGTGAATGAAGATGTCATCGAAGTAGCTAGGAGCAAAGTCGCGATACGGACGTAATAGGTTGGAGACCATCCGATTGAAGGTGGAAGGGGCGTTCTTCAGCCCCTGCGGCATCACGAGCCACTCGCACAGCATACCACTGGGCGTGCTCACTGCAGTAAGCGGCACGTCGCTCTCGCGCATCAGGATCTGATAGAAACCGTCCATCAGATCGATGGTGCTGTAGATGGTACTGCCCGACATGGCGTCGAGCACCATGTCCTTGCGCGGAATCGGGGTCTGCGCCGGAATGGTGAAGTCGTTGAGCTTGTTGAAGGCGTGGACGATTATCCACCCGCCGGTCGCTTTCTTGGCACAGAAGGTGGGACTGGAGTGGGGAGAAAGGCTTTCGCGTACGTGACCGGCTTGCCGACGACCTTCGAAGAATTCGTCAATAGCTTTCACTTGGTCGCGGGGAAGCGGCCACTGCCGCGTCACACAATACTTTGCTCCGGACACGAGGTCAATATCGTGTCGAACACTGCGGTCCGGCGGGAGAACAGCTGGGACCTTGTCAGGGAAGACATCCATAAACTCGCGGACTAGTGGAGCGACTGGGTTGCCGGACGCTTCGAGGGCCGGCAACGACTGAGCGACATAACGCGCTTCGCGAGTGCTCTTCGGCTCAGCTCCGTTGGGGCGCGACCGATCGGCGGACGCGAATCCGGCTTCGACAGTCGCGATGGATGTAGATTCCGCGACGATCAGACAAATTTGCTCAATGTCACCACGCTTCAGGTCGCGGAGGAAATGTTTCCACGACAATCCAGATAGCTGCACGATCCCAGAGGCGTCACACGGCGGACGTGCGACTTCAACGTCGTGGACTCGTGGCGAAATCGATGACTCATCTCCAACCAGAACCGAGATGACCTCCGTGTCGGTTGAGTCCGAGTCTGACGAGGACACGCGGGGTCGCCGCGGGTTACGACGGCCGCGGCGACGAACCGGTCGTGGGGAGGCAGACCATGAGAGACCATTCTCGATCACGTCTGTTGTACTCAGGCGCCGGAACACATCATCGGAGCCAGGACGCGGGCCTGTTGAGGCGACCGCGTCCACATCATCAGGGAGCTTCCGCTCGATCACCCGCGGGAGCCCATGCTCAACCGTGTGTGAGAGCCCATGCTCTACCATATCCACTTCTTCGGGGAGCTCCCGCTCGACCACACGCGGGAAACCCTGTTCGACCACGCGTGGGAGACCACGCTTAACCCCGTCTCTCTTCTCGAGCCGCTGCTCGTCGGGACGCGGGAGCCCCTGCTCGACCGCGTCCGGCACGTCCTGAGATGCGTGTTCAGGACTGGCACAAGCTGCGTGCGCACACGCTGCACATGAAAAGCCATCGCTCACTTCAGGCGCAACGGTGGTCATGGCTTCCGAATCCACGACAGCAGCGTGTGGCCAATGGTTGGGCGTGCCGTTCAGGAACGACAGCACCACATTCACATCGATGTCGCGTGGGCGGACTGTGCCCGTCAGCCAGTCGATGTGAGGTTGGTGGCGAGCAAGCCATGGGATGCCAAAGACACAGTCAAAGGCTCCGCTTAGCTCAATCACCAGAAACTCATCGGAGTCATTGAAGCCGTCGAACTCGTACGCGAAGGTGGCTGCGCGCCGAGGCACTCGGCGCGGCTTGCCGTCAGCATACTTGACGACCATATAGCCGGGTCCCTCGCGGACGCTCGTGCCCGGTGGCAGTACCGACAGGCTTTCGGCGCGAAAGAAGTTGTTCGTCGCGCCTGAGTCCAGGAGCGCACGAATAGGTCGTGCGGCTCCCTCAACGTGGAGACTGAGCACGATCAGTCTCGAGTCACTGCCGGAGGTGGTGGCCGATAGATGTGCGTGAAGCACAGGAGGGCTAGGAGGAGGTTCCGCCACCAGGGACCCATCCCCTTTGTCAGAGCCAGTAGGGCGCCCCGCACCTACTGGTCGTCGTCGTTTTTTGCTGGAGGGGTAATAGTCGCGTCGGACTGGGTCGTGACGGTCGCCACAACAGGAGCTGGAGCGCGGCAAACTGCCGCGCGGTGTCCAAGCTTCTTACAGCGGAAGCAACCCAGCGGACGCGGGGTGCGTCGTGAAGACTGCAACGAGCGCGACGAACCTGACGAACTGGATGACGTCGGCACCCGACGTCCGCCATAGTGTTGAATCGTATCCACCTCCATCGGTTCGGGACCGGGTTCGTGAGCCAAAGGCCTCGAGACGTCGAATGCTTGCGACGCCGTGACACTGTAGTCTTCGCACAAAGCAATCACGAAGGCCTTTTCGAGTGTGGATGGAGGTTTCCTTGTCAAGTAGAAACGCTGGTAGCCAGCGTTCAGTCCCGAGACGAAGACGTGGACCTGAGTCGCCATGTCCACGGGATGCACGACACCAGATGCCGAGTGTGCTGAATGTACTCGAGCATGGACATGCGTCCCTGCTTCAGCGATAGGAAGGCGGACCGCTGGACGTTCTCGTCTTGAGGTGGCTCGAACGCGAGCCGGAGGTCGGACTTCATGGACGCCATCGTCGGGAAGCAGGTGGCGTCGGCGACGAGCTTACCGAGTGCCCACTCTTTCGCCTTTCCCCATAACTTGGAGAGGAGGAAACGAGTCCTCGCGAGCTCGGTGGACAGTTGCCGAGCGTCAACAGCGATGTCAATCTCACAGAACCACCGGTTCAAGTGAAGGCGGCCAGCGCCTTCACCGTTATAGGTAGAGACGTCTAACTTGACGATGTCGGTCTTGTTTTTGGGTTGCGTGGGAGTCGACACTCGCCGACGGAGGTCAGCGAGCTCACGCGCCATGAATTCCTGGGCGGCCAGGCGTTGTTGTTCCTCAGTGCCGGTCGTCAGCAGAGTCTGGATGGCAGCATCGCCGGATGCAGCAGCGAGTCGGTGTAACGCTTCCCACTCAATCGAGGACAGGTGGGGGAAACTTGCGTGTTCTAGTGACGTGCTGGTCATCCTGGACGCGTCGCTCATCGACGTGTCGTTCATCTTGATCGTGGGCGTTGGACGGATTACAAAGTGCTACCAGATGTAACGGGACTGAAGTACCGTTACTGTAGCGTACACTGAAAGGATCGAGGAAGCAGGCAAATACGACTCTGAGATTGATAGTTAGCGACGCGGTCTCGACACGAGAGACCGCGCCAGCCATTTACTCTGTTCTACGTGTTGATTGGCTACCGTGGTGGACACGGTAGCTGTTGTGTGACAACGGCCCGTCACACTTCCGCTCAGTAAAGGTTCCTGCTACGTTTATCAATCCCACTATGATTTCCTGTGCGGTACCACGAGACTCATCTGGGAACGTGACTATCCGTGTCACAAACAATGGAATGGATGCATCAACCAGCTCCGCTTCATATTTGTATGTTAAGGATATGTCGGTAACGCGATTATTACCCTCAAAAGATTTGAAAGAGGGAGGAACTACCGTGTTTTTCCAAGGTAGAAACTTTGTGAACCACTCACTTTTAGCGTGTCGGTTTGGTGAAATCCTAAGTCCTGCCACATACCTCTCCAACTCTGTCGCTGTTTGTGTTGCTCCACGACAATTGATTGATTTGAGAAGCTCAAATGGTACTGTTTCGGTGGAATAGACGAGCAACCAGGTGTATTTTACAGATGTACGTTATGGACTACTTGAAGGAAATGAAGATGACCTAGTCGCTCTACGACAACGCGATACGGTACTAGTCGCTGCTGTATTAATATGGCATGGTAGATTCTGACATCTTGTCGACGGTCTTGACCCTGTTATTGTGCTCCGTCTTGGTGTCGTTATGATTTTGAATTGCACGTCTTCGAATCCTTCTTTCTAGAAACCCACGGTCCTGAAAGGGGTATTGTACAAACCGATGCGGAAGGCTAACCGAGAGTTGGAGTATTTCGACAACGTCGGCGGTACAGAATTACCTTTCTATTTCGATGACACAAGTCGTGTTATGTAATTGCTGATGATGACAGATCCGAACAAGATTCGCAATAACCGAAAGGTTCAGCAACCAGAAGATACTGTCTCTATTTAGTTGAACGTGAAATGCACATTAGCGAAAGGCGAAGGCGGGAAATTGGCGGTATATTCAGCTTACGGAAAGTCAAAGAACCTGACTGTGTGGTTTTCGTGTGACGTGCTCGTGTAGAGGGCCAAGGCGTTTAGTCTGGATTCTAGGCGCTTACGGTCACTACAAAGTCGGAATATTCGCTGATGCGAGCAATACTATTACACTTGTTCGGTGCTATGCTCTAATATAGATTATGCTCCTATTTCCGCAGCCGCTGATCCTTTTTCAGCGCATGCGATTTCGAGCTGCTCTTAAGCTTTTACAATGATAATTGAACAAGTAAGCAGATTGCCCTTCATGGAGATTAATCGAAATGTCCCATCTCCCGCTCCTTATTCTCCTCCCTCGTCTTCTTCTTTTTCTTCTCTTTAGCTGACTCCTTCTCCGTTTCCCCTTTCGCGTAGCGGTGGTATTTTACGTCTTGTTTATCGTATTTAACGTTGCTAGGCTCAGCAAATTTTTATTGTTGGAAATAGAAAAAATAACTTGCTGCTGCACAATTGAGAACCCCTAATCAGGTCATGGCTGATTTTTTTTAGAATAGTTTCTTTTAGCAACAATCTTACAGAATTATTGTCAAGATTTTGTTAAATATAGAATGGAAATCAAATAAAACAATATATTGTTTTGCATTTAAAATGAACGATTTTAATCGTTGGATATATTTTAAATGTATTATTTTCTCGTTGCATTACAATAATTACAATATCGTTTAAGTCTGAAATTGTTCCTGGAAGCAATGGGGGCTTACGAGGCGCTTGATGTGACCCAGAGTGCGCAGTTGTATCTGCTGGTGGGAATTCTGGGGTTCGTCGTGTACCTTTTGCTAGTGTCTTCCTACTTCCTCGTGCCCAACATCAAGGCGCAACATCCGGCCGCCGATCTCGTCGTCTGGCACGCGGGATGCGGACTCGTCATGTGCACCGGTTTCATCTTCGCCTTCGCGCTGCAGCGGCAGGACGTGGCGCCTGAGGACGACGAAATGATCCATTGGCAGTGCTCCATATTGGGTCCTTTCAACCAGTTTTTCCTCCTGGCGGGCGTCTGCTGGTACCTCATGCTCTCGCTCGACCTGCTCGTGGCGCTCGTGAACCCCTGGATGGGCTACAGCTGCAAGTCTTGGGCCTACCACACCATGTACGTGCCGCTAATGTAGTCTAGTAGATATTGACTTACTAACGCTGCTCTATTGTGGTTTGTTGCTACAGTGTGTGGAGCGTGAGCGCCGTGTCTTCACTGCTACTTCGCCAACTGAATCTCTATGGCCTCTCACCACTCAACGTCTGCTGGGTCAAGCGCACTAAGCACCCGATGCAAGTGAACACAGCCAACTGGATCTTCGTCTTCGGTATTGTGGTCGCCACCTGCGTGTTGTCCTTTGCTGTCCTGCTATTCGCGAGCTTCCGCTTCGTCAGACGCCAACTGGACGTCACATATCGCGCCAAGCGCCGCAATTTAATGCAGTATTACCGCTATTTACTGATATTTGCAGGCCATTGGGTGGCCTGTGCCGCGCTGTATTACGCAGCATATCTCCAAGAATTCGATGGTAAAATGGCGAAGCATTTCGAGCTCGCCTTCGCGTTGGTGTTTGGATCGTACCCGGTGCTGTTGCTCATTGTATGGATTCTCAACACGGAGCTGTACCAGAATTTCTCGAGCGAGAATAACCTCTCGAAATCTGAGCGAGGAGCTGGAGACTCGACGAGTACAGAGCATTTCAGTGCCGCTTTGCGTAAAGATCTCATGCGATACACGACTGCAGGGATCCGTTGCAGCATCTGCGAGTCACCTGCAGACAGCTTACGTTCGCCGCTGCTGAGTTTGGCTCGGGATCGCTTCGGCTCACTTGATCGCACTGCCGCGCTGTCATTTTTACAGATGGAAGAGGGGGATTCAGCCGGTCTGTACCACGAGAAGAAACGCTTGGCGACTACAGTGTACAACGGCGAGTACCGGTATTATGAGAAGCTGGGCTTTACTGATTATGCTCCGAAAGTGTTCCAGAACATCCGTGAAATCTGTGGAATCGACAACGAAATGTACGAGCAATCGTTCGCTGATACTCTACTGGAGCGTGCGTCGGAGGGCAAGTCTGGGATGTTGTTCTACTTTACGAGCGACCGCAAGTATCTGGTCAAGACGATGACGAAGAGAGAGCACTCGTTCCTACTTGAGGTGCTCCCATTGTTCCACCAGTATATTCTGAAACAGCCGAACTCGCTCTTGTGTCGCTTCCTAGGCTGCCACTCGATGCAGCTTCCCGTAGGCTGGAACAAGATGTTTTTCGTCGTGATGGAGAATATCTTTCCCGATGGTCCGGTTGACGAGCGTTACGATCTTAAGGGTATTTTCCACCAGTCGAATTTCCGATACCAAGAAGGCATCCCAACACCAGTGTCAAGCGAGTGGAGCCGAAGTGGCAGAGAAGAAGGGATTACTCAGGAGGAAGAAGAAGGAATGTCGAGCGAGAGCCAAAGTGTGGACAGTGAATTGGGGCAGGTTACAGAGAAGCAGCCACTGCTGCGTCGAGGCAGCTCGCGTCCTTCGCTCCGATACGACAACGACTTTGTAATACGCCGTGCCTCTCTTTGTGTGAATCCAACGACCCGTGCGAACCTGCTCGCTCAGGTCACCGGCGACTGTGGATTTCTCCAGGAGCTGGGAATTATGGACTATAGCTGCCTGCTCGGCATTCGGCATTACAATCGTCGTATTGAGCCCGATATTATGGACAATCTGGCACACAACGCTGTGGTGTCGGCAGATCAGTCCACCGTCTACTATCTCGGGTTTGTAGACATCTTGCAGCACTACAACATTGGGTGGAAAATGCAGCACTGCTTGCTGGCGGCTGTAGTCGACAAGCGACAGATCACTGCACTTCCACCTGCTGAGTACGCGCTGCGATTTTTGAACTTTATCCATGAGTATCTGCTGCGAGATCCAGATGGATCACACGTTCGCTCGTATGGGAGCATCGGATACTCACCGTCCAGCTTCATCCGATAGAGGTCGCTAACAGCCGTATTATTAATGTGCAATTAGAACGAAAATAAATGGCTAGACACGATCGCGAATGCAGAACAACAGCGTGGATGTCGAGTTGCAGCGCACGCTCAACGAGTTGTGCACGGATCTCTTCGCGACCGCTGTGTTGGACGACTGTAGTGCCATTCTGCAGTCGCTTGCGTTACTCGCTGAGGCATTTCCCCAGGCCCAGTCGCTCATCGGTAGACTGCTCATCCAACCACCAGACAATCAAGACCGACCACGATATTCAACTGTTTCGAAGCTGTCTCTATTATCAACAAACTTTCTCTACAAGAAGGAAACAGTCCGTAGTGCGGTCTCTTTGTTGGCTGTATTAGCGAACAACAACCTACGAAACCAGCGACGCATCGTTCAGCATGTTGCTGGTGTTAAACTACCCATCAATCCAAGCAAACGTGGTGCTCTTGCAGCCGAGAGTAATCTATACGCTCTCACAGTCCCAGCCACCGTCACAACCACATACCGGAGATGGAAGAAGCGTCAGCAAGAACTGCACAATTGTCGTCTACCCAGTGGTACACCTCCCTGTAGTGACGGGACCCCCATGCCGTGCTACTGCGACGATTGTCTGGGGGCAGAGCAGTTTTTGTCGACGTGGCAGCATCATTTCCACGACTTGTCGCGCTGGACTCTAGATCCTGACAGAGGGACCGGTACCAGTAGCTCAAAGTCTCTATCGACCGAGGAATTTTTTCATATGTTCCTGGAAGACAATCAGCTCCGAGTGTGCAGTGTGGGGAACGCAGTGGGTAATGAGAAGAAGATGGAGAGTTCATGTACAAACAGGCATCGCAGCGTGGTGTATTACTTTGTGTCGCTTGAAGAAGCGGCGAATGCAACACCGAGAACGCCGGTGCAATTTAATCCTCTACGTCACGTGAGTGCCATTGCTATTGCCGCCGAGATTGACATTGCAGCCACGAGAAAAGCGCAAGTACAGTCGGTCACTATATCCAACGAGAGTTTATCACTGGAGTTGGAGGAATCCAGTGCACTCGCAACAGACCAAGTCATTCTCTTTACTGGCACTTCGGACATTGAGTCGTGTAGATCTGCGTTCCCAGAAAATAAGGAAGCGTCTTCTATATCTCCGAATCAAGCTATGGACAACAACGAGCGTCTACTGTATGATTTTCTTCGGTTTGAAGAGCAGCATGGTCAACTGGCGCAATGTGGCTCTCTTGTAAGCGACGTGAGTGAAGACAGTGACGTGGTGGAGACGACGCGGCGGGTGCTGCATTGTATGCTCGATTTTTGTGAGAGCACTGGCCAAATTCCATTGTCGGCGTTTCGCCGTAGCTTCTGCCGTTCTGTCGACTCCAATGAACCTCTCGATGATTCAACTGCTTCATGCGAAATGGACGACATCAAGTCTGCATCTTTGAACGTCAAGGTCACCATGACTGCCATACTGACTGAACAAGCTCTGCAAATCGACTGCACTGGAATCACCAGATCGTCTTGTACTTTCTCAACTCGAATCCCACAGCAAGAGCTTCTTGAGAACAGCACGGGAGACAGAGGGAACCTCAGCTTACTCTGTTTATCTGACGAAGCACTTGAGAATTTGATCCAGCGTTGCCGTATTTGCATGTGCGAAACCCAAGAAACCCACGAAGATGATGATTCAGTGTTTTATCTGCAACCATCCACGCCAGACGAAGAAAGCTTGCAACCTTCAGACGACGAAGTCAGCGAGGGTCCTGTCGTAGCTCATAGTGAGCAGCAAGACTGCGCTGTTCACCCTCCGCTTTGTGGACTATCTCCCGAGGCAAAGCGAGTGCTGACAAAGCTGGAAACAGTTGTGTCGCAAGAAAAGTATCGTAAATTAACTTGCGACGGATTCGCAACAGTCATGAAGAAGCTCTCAAACGTGGTAGCAGACTGCAACAAACGCATCTCGTATCTCTCGACAACAAGAGATAAAGAACTCGTCGTAGCTGTCACACAAGTCCACCGCACAGCAGCCATTTCTCGATGTCGCCACTGTCGTAATCTGCTCATTCAACTCGGCAAAAAAATGGCATTGAAAGCGACGCCATTTGATACATCGGCTCCAATCTCTCATGACAAGCTGTTGCATATCGCCAAACTTGTACGTTCCTCTATCCAAAGTGTACTCGTTCACAGTGAGAGCTTCGATCCATGGGAGATTCCAGACGCACGTGTGGAAAATCTGCAATTAGATCATCGCGTCTGGGCCAGCGGCTACCCTGATGCCGCCTTTTACCAAGATACAGACGCACGACGTCGTCAAAACAGGAAGAAACAGCAGCAGCTCAGTAGGAAATTGCTCCAGAAGAAGAAAAAAGCAAACGGTCAGGCTCGCGAAATACAGCACAAGTCCGTGCAGGCTTAGGGTGAATATGATACAATATTAATAGTCACATTTCCTTCTTCGTCCACTCGCCAAACATGTGCTGGTAATCCTCCAGTTGCCTCTGTAATACATGCAATTCCACTCAGTCCCTCACTATAAAACACACACAATGGCCGTCCTACTTTGAGTTGGTTGTTTTCCTCTAATAAACGGAGATACGCTTCAGCCTGGCTGTCCGTCTGGCGCTTGAGTGCTCTAATTGTCATACAGCAAAAGTTGATCAGCCTATTACGATGCCATAAAGAACAAGAGATGTACCCACTCCAGCTCAGTGTCCCTCTGTTGAGCCTCACCCACGGCTCCTCGCAAACAGAGTTCCAAGCCACGGGCATAGGCGTCTGCCGCCATTTTGTACGAGGCCATGCCGTACAGCGCCTTGCCCTTCCGCGAGTACGTTTTGGCCCACTCTGGATCCAGAGTGATGGCTACATCGGCATCTGCCTTGGCCAGTTGGTACTGCCCCAGTGCACAGTAAGCGGCCGAGCGGTTGCTGTGCAGCGTAGCCGTGGGCTTCCGTTCGATGCCCAGCGAGTACTCGCGGATGGCAGCCTCGAAGTCTTTGGACTTGAAAAACTCGTTGCCACGGTTCTTGTGCCACGAATCGTCACCACGGGATGGCGCGCTGCGGCCCTGCGTGGTGGACGCCGACAGTTTGGCGCTCACCGGTGGAGCGGCCGGCGAGGTTGACCCAAACAGCCACTCCATAATTGGTTGATTCCGTGGGATATACAGATTAAATTGTCTAAGTTGAGCTCGTATCGTGATATCCTGTCGTACTTGATACGATGTGATTTCTCTGAAATTTATTTCAGAGTTAAGAAGGGATCCGATTCGAGGTATTATTCTGTCAGCTATTAAAGTCCTGTCTAAAGCGATGCCGATTAGAAATATAGGCATAAATACTATAAGTAATATAAACCTCTGATCTTTGATGTTGATGTGAAACTGATAAATTAGCTGAATGTTACCTGTGTCGTCCGGACCGAGTACTAATAATATTATTCAAGGTTGCAAGAAGGTGACCGGCTCATAAGCTTCATTGATAGAAATATAAATATAAAACCTACTCTACTCCCGCATCGGTGCATGTAACAGCCTCTTCACTATGATACATTCAACTTCACTGCCGCTGCGTCAGTGGCTAGGAAAGGGTGATAAAAGCAACTAGCAGATGCTGCGGCTGCGAAGCAGGCGCAGGAGATGCGTCGTCAGGTATCCTCCGTAGGTTTGCTAAATTTCAGAGCTTCATCGGGCAAAGCACGACTTTGTTTACCAAACTGGTAGACTTGCTTTTTGTTGTTGTTATTAATAGGGCCTCATCATTAGAAAATTCCGTTCAGATTTAAAAATCCAGTTACTTGTGAGCGGAATTTACCTGTTCATTCAGCTTAAGTTTTTTTGTGTTGTAATCATTTTTGTGAAGAGTACACTAAATAAATACTTTTTGCTTTGAAATTAGTAGGGGTCGTATCGCCAAATACTCCCATGGGACACGCGTCGTTGGCACATCGTCGCACTGCCATCGGTGTTGTACACCAGCTCGATGTCCAATACGAACGCACACTTGCCGCTGTCGGTCATCTCAAAACGCTTCTTGAGATCGCTCTT